TCACAGAGGGCTGAGTGATACTAGCAATCACAGCATTGTAAGAGGGGGACAGTTGAACCCGGAGGCCTCCACCCCTGTTTAATGATGGACGGTTTCTTTTCACAAAGATGGCCTCCTTTACTCCTCTCTCAAACCATCGTTCCTCTCTGTCCAGGATGTGAACATCTTCATCCTTGAAAGAGTGACCGCTGGCCTGGAGATGAGTGTAGACCGCAGAGTCCTGGCCTGATGATGTTGATCTTCTGTGCTGGGCCATCCTTTTGGCCAGTGGCTGTTTTGTTTCCCCGATGTAAGACTGATCACAGCCCTCCTGACACTGAACAGCATACACAACATTGCTCTGTTTGTGCCGGGGGACTGGATCTTTGGGATGAACCAGTCTTTGCCGTAATGTATTTTGGGGTTTAAAAGCCACTGGGACGTTGTGTTTAGAAAATAAACGTCTCAGTTTCTCTGATACTCCCTCAACATATGGAATGACCACTGGTCTGGGTCTGGGTTCCTCCTTTTCACCTGTTGGCTGACTGGAGTCCTGTTTGGGTTTCTTCTCTGCTTTCAGGAAGGCCCAGTTAGGATATCCACATTGCTCTAGAGCCTGTCTGTGTGGGATTTCTCCTTCTGCCTGGCTCCTGAGCTAGTGGGGACGCTGTCTGCTCTGTGGTACAGAGTCCTGATGACTCCTAACTTGTGCTCCAAAGGGTGATGGGAGTCAAACTGCAAATACTGGTCTGTGTGGGTGGGTTTGCGGTACACCTCGGTTTGCAAATGTCCTCTATCAGAGACTGACCTCACAGTCCAAGAAAGCCAACTTGCCATTTTTTACATCTTCTCGTGTGAACTTGATGTATTTATCCACAGAGTTGATGTGGTCAGTAAAATGTTGGACTTCCTGAGATTTAATTTTAACCCAGGTGTCGTCAACATACCTGAACCAATGACTTGGTGGTGTCCCTGAAAAGGACGTCAAGGCTCTCTTTTCTACCTCCTCCATGTACAGGTTGGCAACAATAGGAGAAACTGGAGACCCCATAGCACACCCATGTTTCTACCTATAATATTGCTCCCCATATGTGAAGTAGGTTGACTGCAGGCACAGTTTCAAGAGTTGACACAGTTGTTCTGTAGAAAGTGTGGTCCTGCTGCTCAGAGTGGTGTCTGATTTTAATTTTAAACTGACCACCTCTACTGCATCATCAACAGGAATGCACGTAAAGAGTGATGTGACATCAAAAGAGACCATTGTTTCATCAGTCTCCATGATGACATCCCTCACCTTATCCACAAAGTCCATGGTGTTCTGTATGTGGTGTTCTGAGCTGCCAACTAAAGGGATGAGTACAGACGCCAAATATTTGGAAACATTGTAAGTGACAGAGTTAATCATACTAACAATTGGTCTTAAAGGTACACCTTGTTTGTGGGTTTTAGGAAAACCATACAGACTAGGCGTAGCCTCCCCTGGGTACAGTCTGTGGTACAGAAAACGGTCAATAGCCTTGTCCTGCTCCAAAATTTTCAGGCAATCTATCAATTTCTTCTTGTAACCACTTCCTGGATCTCTTTTCAGAGGTTCATAAGTGGTTAAGTCACTAAGGAGTGTCATAACTTTCTCATGATAGTCTTTCTGGTTCAAAATCACTGTGCACCTTCCTTTGTCTGCTGGGAGAATGATGATGTTTTTGTCCTTGCTAAGAGTGGTGAGTGCATCCCTCTCCTCTCTACTGATGTTGGAAGGTGGTGGTTTGGCATTGCTGAGGCAGGATGAAACTTTGATTCTGAGCTGTTCTGCTTCAGCCTCTTTAATTTTGTTGTTGCGGATGGCTGATTCAGTAGCTGTGATCATCTCCACCAGAGGAATTCTACTTGGTGCAACCGCAAAGTTCAGTCCCCTGGCAAGAATCTCTGTCTCCGGCTGGGTGAGCTGTCTGTCAGATAAATTCTTCACCCACTTTTCTGTCTCCCTGACATGTAATTGACTACTGGAGTGTTGTCCTACACTGAATGTGTTGTTATTGGAATAGTGATAGTGTTGATGAGTTATTAGTAAGTTAAACTTGTTTTGTTGTCGAGTCTTGGACTTGACATGCTGTGCTAAGCGTGCCTGATCTGTACAGTCCATCACTTGCTGAAATGTGGTTTGATCTAGACACATAGTTAGTTTTAGATTTGTCTTATAAT